AAATCATCAAAATCAACAATTTCTTGGGTGTTTACAGATGGATTTTGTTCAAACTTGGTATATAAATTAGACATTATGGGACCTTGATGCAAATCATTTTGTTTTTCAGATAAGATTTAAAATGGCCGACTGGCGGCCATTTTGTATTAATGAATGTGGTTCTCGTGCCATATCTCTGATTGGCTTTCACTGATAATGTTCAAATTTTAAATATTCATTATACATCATGTCATAGATAAACAGATATATTGGTTTGACGATCCTATTCGAAATGGCCAAATGGTGGCCTTTTTTTGTGCTAAACAATCATCAAATATGAAGCATTTCTGGCATTTATGGATGGATTTTGTTCAAACTTGGTACATATATTAGACATTACAGGTTCCTGATGCACATCATTTATTTTTCAGATCGGATTCAAAATGGCTGTCTGGCGGCCATTTTGTTTTAATGAATGGGCTTCTAGACCCATATCTCCGACTTGTTTTGGCTGATAATATTTTCAAATTTTAAATATTCATTATATTTGACTATCCTATTCAAAATGGCCGAATGGTGGTCATTTTTGTGCTAAAAAATCATCAAATATCAAGCATTTATGGGTGGATTTCATTCAAACTTGATACATACATTAAACATTACGGGTTACTGAAGCTCGTCAATTTATTTTTCAGATTGAATTCAAAATGGCTGACTGGTGGCCATTTTGTTTTAATGATTGGGCTTCTAGAGCCATATCTCTTAAATGCTTTGACTTATTATATTTAAATTTTATATATTCGTTATACATCATGTTATATATATACATGTATTCAAAATGGCTGATTTTGAATGCTGTTCCAGAGCAATATCTCTCAATATGAACAAGTACTTGTTTGACGATCAGATACAAATGTCAATCATTTTAATGTTAAAAAATCATATTCCTGACATGGTTATATTCCAGCTATATTACTATAAACAAAACTATATATCTTAAATTTGATAACTAACGGGGACTGTGCCATGCATGGCTTGTTTTTTTCAGAATATAATTTTCAATATTTTGTTTTCGGATTTTGCCACTTCCCTTACATATTTCGTATTTATCATATTTAGATGTTTAATGCTGAATACCCAATTTTGTATTCCAGCATTGTCTAGTTAAATACTAGTTGATTATCTTCCTGAGCCCTGTGTGTTTATTGGCAGTGTGTTTATTCTTAGTCAATATTTCATAATTTGTTTTATGCCTGACAAAATAAGGCAGAGGCTCTCTAGTTCTAACAAACAAGCTAGGTTTATTGCTCTACTATTTGGCTAGTATATAAATAAAAGCTCATGACTCGTGGAGTAAAAAATATGGAATATGGTTTTTCCTAAATGCACTTTATACTGTCTTGTAGTTTTGTACATGCACTTGATAATTGAAAGGAGAGACTACAATCGAATTCATTGTGCAATAAATATTGGACTTGTTTTTTGAAGAGATCCAAAGTCAGTTGGAGTTGTAACTTGTTTTTTTCTGTTGTATACAGTCGCAGTCATGTGAAGAAGACTATACTTTAGATGGCAGCATCCATAGTTTAGACCTTAAGACAATA